GCTCTGGGGTCCCGAGGGACTTGAAAAGCGCTCTATAAGTTCAGTACCATTTACCATTTAATAAAAGTATTTTACCTAAAGTTAGACCGTCAACATGTCAAACAGGAAGTTATATTTGTATATAAATAAAACATTAATAAAATGACATTATCCAGCCTGGATGTTTCTGATGGGACCTTCACATGTTAACATGACTTCAAAACATCAGAACATTTATTACAGTTAAATATTTAAATAAACTATTTATAACCAAACAAACACATGAACCTATCTGTCTCTCTTGAAATGTATTATTCTGAATGTGTTTTATGTGAGGATGTAAAGTGTCTGTGTTGTGGGTTGTTTGAACTGTGTAGCAGTCAGGTTCTGTACCCAAGACAAATTTCCTTTGGGACAATAAAATTAATCTTATCTTATCTTATCTTATCTTATCTGAGAGTCAGACCCAAACTAAACGTGTTCAGTGTGTCACTCTGAGCTGACGTCACAAACTCACAGTTTATCCAAACAAACCAAAGGAAGCAGTTAATGGGACTACTTCCTGAGGCGGAGTAGTCCACATGATGATGATGATGATGATGATGATGATGATGATGATGTGGCTGAGCTCAGACTGAGTCAGAGCTGTTTCAGAGTCACTGACAGGCAGAAAAACCTGGAAATAAAAGGATAAATCAGCAGTTTACTTCATCTTCAGGTAGAAYCCTGCAGGGGGCGCTGCTGCACCAGGAGTCTGTGATGCTTGTGAAAGGTGTTATCTAAATAAAGTTTTCATATAAATAAAGACCACGGGTCTGTGTCAGGTTCAGTTCTTCAGGTGGGCCTGGCTGTATTTGTGTCTGAGAGAATCCTGCCTGTTGGAAGTGACAGAGCCTCGCCTGAAGGACTCTGGGATGTAGGTCCTGAAGGAGGTCTGGACCTGGCTCAGGTCCTTTCTGAAGGTCCTGGTGGCGTAGTAGTACAGCAGAGGGTTGATCATGCTGTTGCTCGCTGCCAGGCACAGCGTCACYGACACGGCTCGCTGCAGCAGCCGTGTGACCTCACAGCTCCATCGACCAATCACAGCGTGCAGGTGCAGCGTCCGGATCAGGTGATAGGGCAGGAAGCACAGCAGGAAGGTGACGATGACCATGGTAACCAGGTAGACCGAGTGTCTTCGGTTGTGCCTCCGGACCTTGTTCCTCAGAATGTCACCACTGACCTGTTTAGTGTTTCTCAGGTTCTGGATGACCTTACTGTAGCAGAAGATGATGATGAGGAAGGGCACGAGGAAGCCCACACCCACACCCAGATAATTCATGATGTAGATCTTCGACCAGGACTCCACAGAGCCCGGTTCAAAGCAGCGACGCACACCCTGTCTGAGTGCAGACACACAAACCAACAGTAAAATACTGCAGACACCCTGTCTGAGTGCAGACACACAAACCAACAGTAAAATACTGCAGTATTACAGAGAGGGAAAACCTACAACTTTACTTTAACAAATACAACTTTATTATAACAGCTACAACTTTACTTTAACAGCTACAACTTTACTTTAACAGCTAAAACTTTACTTTAACAGCTAAAACTTTACTTTAACAGCTAAAACTTTACTTCAACAGATAAAACTTTACTTTAACAGATAAAACTTTACTTTATCAGATACAACTTTACTTTAACAGCTAAAACTTTACTTCAACAGATAAAACTTTACTTTAACAGATAAAACTTTACTTCAGCAGATACAACTTTACTTTAACAGCTAAAACTTTACTTTAACAGCTAAAACGTTAACAGCTAAAACTTTACTTTAACAGATAAAACTTTACTTTTACAGCTAAAACTTTACTTTAACAGCTAAAACTTTACTTCAACAGATAAAACTTTACTTTAACAGATACAACTTTAACAGCTAAAACTTTACTTTAACAAATACAACTTTACTTTAACAGATAAAACTTTACTTTAACAGCTAAAACTTTACTTTAACAGCTAAAACTTTACTTCAACAGATAAAACTTTACTTTAACAGATA